CTTTGTGGGGAGAGAGAACTCGTTCAGACTCACTGTACCCCACTGTCATGGCTTCTGCCTTTTGAGTATTCCTTCATCTGCCCATTCATTCATTCTTTAACCCACACTTCACTCATGTGTAAATTTATTCAGATATCCATGCATTTATTAGTTCATTCCAAAAAATACTAGTTCATTAGAAAAAATCCATGCATTTATTAGCTCATTCAAAAAATATTCATGCATTTATTCATTCATTTTAAAAATCCATGCATTTATTAGCTCATTCTAAAAATCATGCATTTGTTAATTCATTCCAAAAAAATTCGTGTGTTTATTTCTTCATTCCAAAATATATTCATGCATCTATTAGTTCATTCAAAAATATCCATGCATTTATTAGTTCATTCAAAAATTCCATGCAGCCAGATGTGGTGGCTCACGCCTGTAATCCAAGCACTTTTGAGGTCAAGGTGGGTGGATCACCTTAGATCAGGAGTTCAAGACCAGCCTGACGAACATGGTGAAACCCCGTCTTTAAAAAATAAATAAATAAATAAATAAATAAACCTCCACACATTTATTATTTCATGCAAAAAAGTCCATGCATTTATTAGTTCATGCAAAATATTCATGCATTTATTAGTTCATTCCAAAAAAAAATTATGCATTGAATAGTTTATTCTAAAAAATATTCATGCATTTACTGGTTCATTTCAATAAATACTCATGCAGTACCCTTCTCCTTCATTCCTGATCCTGGGGTGGAGGTGGAGGTGAACAGAGGAACATATGACTATTTTTAGGAGTCTAAGACACTTACGCTTTCATAAGCACTCCCCAGAGGCTTTTAAGCTGAGAATAAATGGAATTTTATAGAGCCTCCTCTTGGGCTCATGGTGGGTTTGCGGGGACAAGGATTGAGGCTGGTGGGGGCCCAGGTCAGGAGCATCTTGAGAACTTTCCAACTTTTGCTGCTAAAGTTGAAGAGAAGCAAGTATAGCATTCCTAAATCCCTGCATTCGTTTTTCCTGTTTCTTGATGGAATGTGGATTATTTTGTTGCAAGAGTGAATTTGAACTATTCTGATACATGGCTGTTTTGCCCAGTGACATTAAGATCTTCATACACTTATAATAAAGCAAATTTATTATTTATTTATTTATTTATTTATTTATTTATTTATTTATTTATTTATTTATTTTGAGACGGAGTTTCGCTCTTGTTACCCAGGCTGGAGTGCAATGGCGTGATCTCGGCTCACCGCATCCTCCGCCTCCTGGGCTCAGGCAATTCTCCTGCCTCAGCCTCCTAAGTAGCTGGGATTACAGGCATGCGCCACCACGCTCAGCTAGTTTTTTTTGTATTTTTAGTAGAGACGGGATTTCACTATGTTGACCAGGATGGTCTCAATCTCTCGACCTCGTGATCCACCCGCCTCGGCCTCCCGAAGTGCTGGGATTACAGGCTTGAGCCACCGCGCCCGGCGCAAATTTATTTTTAAAAATAGAAACTGAATAAGCAGAAAATGAATAGGAATAGAAAATGGTTAGGCAGTAACCAGGGCTGTGGGGAGTGGAGAGAGGGGTGATGCAACTGTGGAGGAGGTATTAGTGGGAGGTGGCATGAATGCGACCAGGGGAGAAGCACTCAAGATGTGTCAGTGGCAACTTTGAAGTCAGGGTTGGTGGTGGTACTCACTATGCTGGGAGAAGAATGCTACTCACTTTTGGAATCTCTGACTGTCCCTGGGCCAGCCACTTAACTTTTCCTGAGCCTCAGCTGCATTGTCTGTAAGTGGGGATAATATGCTCCTGATAGAGGGTATGGTAGCCCTAGGTGTCTGTGAGGGCTCAGTGAACTTGGACACCTGAGCAACGTATGTTATTAGCCTGGCTGCCAGGAACAAAACTCAGAGAGAGCTGCAGGAAATTGCAAACCCAGGGCATCCCATCTGGCACCGATGGACCATGGTCCACCTAACTGCAGCTGCTTCCCCAGCCCATGTGATGTGGGCAGGTGTGCAGCTGCCTACCACTGCAGCAAGAAGCAGCAGGTGGAGAGGTGACCCAGATGTCTGTCAGCTTCAGAGTGAGTCCTGGACTTGGGTACTGGAGTCTCCCCAGTGACCAGGATTTCTCAGAGGGGATCCCAGGCATGGACACTGCAGACCCTCCTGTGACTAGTTCTCAGAGGAGGTCCTGGGCATGGGCACTGGAGTCCCTCCCATGACTAGGAGTTCTCAGAGGTATTCCCGGGCATGGGCTGCTGGAGTCCCTCCTGTGACTAGGTGGTCCTGGGCATGAGTGCTGGAGACCTTCCAGTGAGTAGGAGTTCTTGTTGACTTGAGTGACTGAAGAACTCCACAAGACTTTTATTTTTTATTCTCCAAGCCCAACCAAGACTTCCAGACATGGCGGCCTCCTGAGCACATGAGCAGGCCACATTGTGTGGCAGAACAGACTCACACATTAGACAGATTTGAGTTCAGATCCTAGTCCTGCCACCGACTTACTGTGTGGTGAGAGCAGATGAAAGACTCTATCTCTAGACCTGTTTCCTTCTCTACTATAATTGTACTCACCCTTTTCATGAGACTGAGGGATTTTTGAAGGCTGGGAGGCAGTTTGATTTTCTTCTTTTGTCTGCCTTACCACCTGGCACAGTGAATGAACCAATAAACAAGCACCTCAAGTTGTTTTGTGAAGTAAATTAAGCATTTCCTGGGCAAATAAATTTGAGAGCCCCTAAGTCAAACTAAGCTTTTTTTTTTTTTACAGGACTTCTCAGAGCCTCTAATGTACTTTGTGATTCTCCTATAAGGAATAAGGTAAGCAGCATTTCTCAAACATTTTTGTACCCTTTTTCTGAGGGCATATCATCCTTGGCACTGGGGTTCCTAGGAACATACTTTGGGAAATGTGGACTTAGTATCATTGTCAGAGTTCCTACAAATGTTGTTATTTGTTGGGTTGCGTGTTCCTTTATCCTCTGTCAAACATGACCTGAATTATGTCACATAACTATGCACCACAGACACTAAGGCCAAGAGCTGTTAGTGCAGAATAAAAGACTAAATTCGAATGTTGGGGAAGAAAAAGTTACACTCCCAATTTAGGAAAGCTACTACAGTTTGTCTTAAAAATGAACACTTAGTTTCTGCCAAAGCAAACAGAAGAATGTGGTGTGTTTCATGGTTTTTGGGGTGGCAGTTCAGCAAGGTGGCCAAATGCTCTCCAGCTGTGAACAAGACTGTTTTCATTCATGTGTTTGTTCATTCATTCATTCATTCAACAAGTGTTTATTTACCACCTACTATTTACAAGCACAATGCTGGGTACCAGGGATACAACAGTAGGCAAAGACATACATATGCCCTTATGGAGATGACAGTCATCAGTTTTCAGAACAAAGATGCTAGCCTTCAGTGCCCCTTCTTTCCTGAAGTTTGTTCTGAAGTTTTAGACAGACTACTTCCACCTTGCTGTGGTTTTTCTCTCTACCTGTTTTGTATCCAAATTCACAAAAGGTGATGACATCCTAGTCACAGGGAACCCAGGTGGTTGGTAGAACCCAGAACTTTGTGTTAGAGTCTTCATGAAAACCAATGTGAGAAACTGGGCTGAGGCAAAAGAGGTAGCCTTCCATCCTTGCTATTTTCTCTGGGACACTGAGCATCTTTTCTGGCCTCCACCCTAGGAGTTGGGAATCTAGTAACTTTGATTTTTTTTCTCTGTCCCAGTGATCAACACTCTAATTCTTCAACACTAGGCACATGGGAATTGCTTTTCATTTTTAACCTGGGCAACAAAGTGAGACCCTGTCTCTACAGAAAATTTAAAAATAGCTGAGCATAATGGCATACACCTGTAGTCCCAGCTACTTGGGAAGCTGAGGCATGATGATTGCCTGAGCCCAACAGTTCAAGGCTGCAGTGAATTATGATCCCATCACTGCATTCCGGCGTGGGTGGCAGAGTGAGACCCTGCCTCTAAAAAAATTGCTTTTTTGATGGTTGGATAAATGGATGGACCCATGGTTGAATATATAGATGAATGAATGCATTTGTAGAACAGTGACTGACACATAGGAAGGATATTTGGATCAATGAAAGAATGGAGGAATAGATGGGTAGATGGTTGAGACCAACCAATGAATATATGAATGAAAAGATGCCTAGTAAAGGCACAATATGATTTTTTAAAAATAAATCTATTAGTGAATCAATGAACGGTTGGGTGGATGGATGAGTGAGTGAGTAGTAGATGTGATGAACAGTTGTACAATAGAATGGGGAGAAGGGTTTGAGTGAATGGATGATGAGTGAGTGAATGAATAGATAAATGGATAGATGGTGAATTGGGCTAGAGGGGTGGACAAATGGACAGTTGAGTGAACTGGTGAATGATTGGATTAGCTGATGAGTGGATGGGTAGTTGGATGGATGGATGGATGGATGGATGGATGGATGGATGGATGGGCAGGTAAAAAATTCTGGCGACAAATTGAAGAGATCTTGGGGTACAATCTGGGCACAGTTTAGGTGAATAACAGATTATTTTCTGATCCCACCTTGGCTCAGTTTACCTCTATGGATACATATTCTGTGTTTCTAGGTTCAGTCATCCTTCTTTCTCCCTCTGGGCTTCCAAGAGTCTTACCTTGGAACTCCAGTTGAACTGAGCCCTGAGCTTGTCTGTGGACCTTCTCAACGGTAAGGAGAACACTCCTGAAAGAAGCCTGTGTCCTTCTGAGGGTACAGGGCTGAACCAGCTCTTCATGATGACTGTTTTCTCTTAAGCCTTTCTAGCGGTTTCTTGTTTTGTGGCCTCACCCAATCTTCATTGGGCATCAAACCAATGAAGATCAAATCTTGGTCTCTAGCTCAGTGCCAACTCCACCTGTGCCCTCCATGGGTGACAGTAGAGACACAGGATAAATTAGAAAAAGGAGTCATCCAGGTCCACCTCCTGCCTTCATTCCAAGATCTCTTTCCTCTTTCCCAGGTTCTCCAAGTAGCCATGGATGTGGGTTTCTTGGGCTTGCCAGATGTGTCTCAGAGTCATAGCAGGACCTTGTGGGGGACTCGGGGCAGGGGACCCACCATACGTCGCCAGCGGGAGTTCATGCCAGAAGAGAAGAAGGACACAGTTTACTGGGAGAAGCGGAGGAAGAACAATGAGGCAGCCAAGAGATCCAGGGAAAAGCGACGTCTCAATGATGCAGCCATTGAGGGCAGGCTGGCTGCACTGATGGAGGAGAACGCCCTGCTCAGGGATGAGCTGAGGGCGCTCAAGCTTCGCTTTGGCCTCCTGCCCCTGACTGGTGGGCCCCGGGCCTTGCCCCTGCAGGCCCTGCTATGGGAAGCTCCCTGGACCGGGGACCACCACCCTGGGGCTGAAGCACTGTCATCCTTGTCTGGCACCCACAGCTGCCTCTTAAGGCCATGTTCCCTAGATGCTGGGATTCCAGGATGTCAGGGCTGCCTGCTGGCTCCCAGATGGACTGGCCTGGCCACTTCTAGGTCCTCCCCCGAGTCTGCACCTCCTACCCTCAACAGAATTGACATGGCTTTGCAGAGTGCCCTCCCACCGGCCCTCTTCAGCTGTCACCTCTTGGATGGGCATGTAGGGTCTAGACGAGAGCTCAGACCCTGCTGGGGGCTGTGGTCACCAATGCCCTCCAGATGCCGAGCTTCGGGGCCAGATGTGTTGCTGACACCCACTGTTGATCCCATGGGTCTGTCTCCTGGGGTTACCTGCCCTGTCCCAGGAAACAGTCCTGAGGATCTGGGTCAGCCCTCTCTGCCCCACAAATTGCGCATCAAATCCCAAGCCTCCAGCAGAGTGCCTCAAGGTTGGGAGGGTGGCCAGGACCCCTGCTGAGAGCTTCCTCTGGGAAGGGCTGGGGCTGCAAGAGGGTGTTGAGGGCTGAGCATAGGTTGATCTGAAAGATGAGTAGCTTGGTCTTGATCAGCACCTGGGAAGGCCGGTAGGAAGTAGGGGTCCCTGGCTTGGAGAGTCCACTTCACAGCTTCCATGCCAGACCTCCTAGGGGAGGAATGGATGGGAGCCCATCATGGCTCTTGTCTTGCTGTAAAATCTATGCTTTGAGTTGTCACTTTTCCATCTTCCTTCCTCCTCTCCATTTATCTGTCCCTTCCTTCCACCCATCCATTTATCCAGTCATCCACTCATCCGTTCATCTCATTTATTCATCCATCTATCCATTCATTCATTAATCCTCATCTGTCCATCCATTAGTCCCTCCATCCTCATCCATCCATCAATACATCCAGCCATTCAGTCTTCCATCTGTCCATTCATTAGTTTATCCATCCTCATCCATTCATCTGTCCATCCATCCATCCATTTGTCCATCCATTGACCTATCCACCTATCTATCCTCCCATCCTCCTTTTATCCATGCATCTATTCTCATTCATCCATGCATTGGTTCTTCTTTCTATCATCCTCATCCATCTATCCATTCATCCACTCATCCATCTATACATGCATCCATTCATCCATCCTCATCCATTCATCCACCATCCTCACCTATTTACTCATCTACTCATTCTTCCATCCATACACCCATACACCTTATCCATTCCTCCATTCATCCATCCATTCTTTCTATCTAGCCATCCATCTATCCATCCTCATCCATTCTCATCCATCCATCCTTCCTTCCATCCACTCATCCTCATCCATCCACCCACCCCATCCATCCGTCCTCACCCATCCATCCACACATCCTTCTTTTCATCCATCCATTCATCCTTTCATTCATTTATTCATTTAGCCATTCATGTATGTGCTAACTTGTTCGTTCTCTTACTCATTAATTTGCTTATAATTCACTTGTCCCCTCACCCACCACTCATGATCTTTGGACCTTCCTTTTGTGCCGTTAGTGACAAAGAGAAGACACTTTTCTGGCCTTGGGTTTATGATCCTGGTGTAGGGATGGGGGTTTAGGAAGAAACATACTGAAGAACAGAATGAAGGAGGAGTTAATGTCTAGGGTGTAAATCCCCCTTCTTTGTGTCTAGGGGCTTGCTTACCACCTAGTTTGAGGGTCAGACATATTAGCTTCCTCTGTGTCTTGGATTGGGGCCTTAAGCTGCTGGAACAGACCAGCAATCTGTGTCCGGGGGCATCAGTGACCTCTCTCTCCCTAGCTGCCCCTTGTTCCTGAGAACCAGATATACAGACCCCCACCCAGGTGAAAGGGGCCATTCTGCAGGGAAGGTCTTCCAGGGACCTGGAGCCCAAGGACTTATTAAAGCTCCCTCCTCCTCAGTTTTTCACTTAGCCCCTCTCCCATTATTATTATTATTATTATTATTATTATTATTACATCAGGGATTTTGTTAGAGTCTGGATAAAAATACTCCATCTCCAATCATGGGGAGAGCTCATGGGATGGAGGGCTCATCTGGACTGGTACTATTACCAAGGACCAGATGCCCTTGGCCAACTGGATCATTTGGACTCAGGAGCATCACCAGCAACGCCAGATGTGGGGGCTGGGCTAGTTCTTATCTACTCCAAGTTTATCACAGCCACAGATGTGTGCAGGATGAGGACATGCAAGGTGCATCCCTCTCACTAGTACAACAGGTGGGCAGTATCGCCGAACAGGCCAAGAGCTCCCCTGTGACTGGGCATCCCTAAGACCCTACACTTCATAGCTAGGCCCTCCTCTACCTGCTCATCCTTTGGTTCTGGTCCAGGGCAGGGACTGGGCAAGGTTAACCCTCCTCCTTCCTCCATGCCTGACCTTCCAGCAGGTAGCTTTGCTCATGTCACTGAGCCTCCCTTACATATCTATAAATGTTTACCTATAAATTTAAGCCCATTCCCCAGAAATATATTGTGAATATTAAGAAGCAGCACATAAATTTCCTGGTATAGGGGCTTCTCTGAACTGTTTTATCTTTATAAAAAATGTGAATTCTGGTGGGCAAGGTGTGTAATCTCATTACAAGGTGTGTAAGTCTCATGCCTGTAATCCCAGCACTTTGGGAGGCCAAGGCTGGTGGATGGATCCCTTGGGATCAGGAGTTCGCGACCATCCTGACCAACACAACGGAACTCCATCTTTACTAAAAATACAAAAATTAGTCGGGGGTGGTAGTGAGTGCCTGTAATCCCAGCTACTTGGGAGGCTGAGGCATGAAAAGCTCTTGAACCCGACTGAAGTGAGCTGAGATCACGCCACTGCACTCCAGCCTGGGCGACAGAGCAAGACTCCATCTCAAAAAAAAAAAAAGAATGCAACTAATCTTCTTTCCCTTTTTGCTTTGTTCACCAAGGAGCTCAGGACGAACCTGTGGCTAAACTGTAACAGTATATTGATTCACTTATTCATTATTTTATTCATTTAGCAAATTTTCTTGATCATAAGTTTCTCATCTTGTTTCATTTTATTCAAGGCATAGCTTTGTTGTAAAAAGTCTGAAAATCATATGCAGCCAAGTTGGCAATCTTTTCTTTTGTGGTTTGTACATTTTTGTCATGTTTGAGACAACTTCCATCTCTCAAGGTCATAAAAATAGTCTCCTATCTTTATGTTCCAGGTACTGGGGAAAGAGAAGTGAACACAATAGATGTGATTCCTGCCTCTATGGTACTGATAACCCAGGGAAGGAGATAGATTAAAAAATAAAAACAGCCAGGCATGGTGGCTTCTGCCTGTAACCCCAGCACTTCGGGAGGCCAAGGTGGGCAGATCACAAGGTGAGGTGATCGAGACCATCCTAGCCAACATGGTGAAATGCTGTCTCTACTAAAAATACAAAAATTAGCTAGGCATGGTGGCGTGCACCTGTAATCCCAGTTACTCGAGACGCTGAAGCAGGAGGATCTGCTTGAATTTGGGAGGCGGAGGTTGCAGTGAAGCCGAAATCGCACCATTGCACTCCAGCCTAGCCTTAGAGCAGGATTCCATCTCAAAACAAACAAAAACAACAAAAAACATATAGTACGACCAATTATAAGTGTCATGGAGGAAAAAGATAATCTTGGGAAAGGTGGGGGTGGTTGCCTTGTAATAATTGAAATAGGGAGATCAGGATTGAAATAGGGGGAATCTCAGCCTTGCTGAGAAAGTGACATTTGAACAGACTTGAGAGAGATGAAGTGGGGAGTCATGCACGTAACCGAGGAAGAGCATTTCCTAGTCAGAAAGAACAGCCTGTGCAAAGGCCCTGAGGTGGGATCATGCCTAGGGTTTTGAGGAAGACGGAGAAGGCCCATGTGGCTGGAGCAGAGTGAGTGAAGGGGAGAGAGGATGAGGTGAGGGCAGGGAAGCAGTGGAAGCAGGTTGTGCAGGGCCTCGTGGACCAAGGTGAGGACTTTGGTTTCCTTTATGAGTGATATGGGCATGATGGGGACGTTTCTGAGTATATTTCTGTTGTAATTCTCCCCTTACCTCCATCCTGTGGTGTGTGACGCTGAGTGAAAAGAAAAAAACCCACCATGTAAGTGCTGGAGAGCTGACTCGTTGTCTGGGGTGGGTGTGGGTAGTGACTGACCACAGTGCTGCGGTGACTCATGTCCCTTTAAATGGCCACATGCTCCTTGCTCTCAGAGCCAGGGTGCTCATCCCATTCCTGCTTCTGAACTTCTCTGAGATAGGAGGGGCAGGGCAGGTAAAGCTGCTCCATGAGGCAGAATCGTGGAAGAAAAACACAGATGGTTCTCTATTCTTCTTTGTAAAGCCGACTTCCGCTAAATATTTTTGACAAGTGTAGGAGAAAGCGGATTCAGATGCAGGTGGGGGATGCTGGAAGGGCAAAGGAATGGCTGAGGTGGGAGGCAAGTCGGTGAGGAAGTGGCCAGGAATAGCCCTGGAGGCACTGCAAGGTAGGTGAACAGCTCAGGCAAACAGGAAGATCTGAAGATAACTTAGAGATAAACTGGTGACTCTGGGGAGGAAGGCCATGGGCAGAAAGGAAGTGAAGCCTTCACCCTGCAATATCATGACTCCTGAGGGTGTGTTGCCTATAACAAGTAGACTCATTTTGTGGCTACCTAGTCTGGGACAGTGGTTGTGCTGGTGATTTATCATAGTTTTTGCTTAACCTTCTGAAAAAGGCTTTATTATGATCTTCATTGACAGATGAGGAAACTGTGACTCAGAGCAGTTACATCCCTTGCCTAATAGCACTTAGTTGGTGACTGGGCCATTTCCCGCCTCATCATTGCACGGGTGTCATTGGCTAACTTTCTGTTCCTTAAAGTTCTTTCCTGCCTCAGGTCTTTGCATGCTCTGTTCCCTCTGCCTGGAATTTTTCCTTGAGTCTTTAAATGACTCTCTTTTTCCATCTTCAGGTCTCAGCTCCAATGCCACCTCATCAGAAAGGCCTTCCCTGTACACCCAGTCTAAATAAAAGCCCCAATTATTTGTAGATGTTCAATAAATACTTTTTGGACAAATCAATGAAGTGAATAGGATCAGATGAGCCTCCTAGTAAGAGCTTCAGCTGTAACTCTGAAGACTTAGATCCTGTGTCACCAGGTTTTACGATCTGGGGGATAAGAATGGGGATCCTTCTATTACATTCACTGAAAAAGCTCTTGTATTTAGAATGGAGCCTGTCATGTAGGTGTGTGAGAAATATTGCTGAATCTGAGGTTTGATAAGGAAGCAGGGGCCACGTTATCAGGTATAGGGACAGAAAGAAACAGGGTGTCACATAGGTCTTTTCTTCATTCATTCACTCACTCATCCATCCACTCATTCACTTACCCATTCATTTATTCTTGCACTCATTTGCTCATTCACTTACTCATCATTCATTGACTCACTAATTTATTCATTCACCCACTTATCCCTTTGCCCACTCATCCATTCACTCACTCATTTGCTCACCCAC